AAGATAGTGTCTAGGGAAGAGAATGTCTTTCTATTCATATTCATTTATGAAAAGGGCCTTCTCTGAATAATTTTCTCTTTCTTTCTATAGACCTGATGTAAAATGAACTCTGAGTCTAAAACAAGCACTGAAGAGGGATAAGAGAGGCATGTGAAAGATACGAGTAGGGATTACTTAGAAAAGAGACTACAGGACATTATTCACACTGCTGTGACTGAAAACACAAACACTTCTCATTATCCCTTTTTATTCAGACATAGAGAAAGAGCAATCCTGAAAAACAGTTGATGCCTGGTGCCAGGAACAGGAATCCAAATAAAGGGTACACAGAGAGCTAATGTCGGTGAAGGCCTTGGACACAGCCTTTGACAAATCTATCTCCAATACAGATCCACTTGGCAGGATGTTGTACAGAGGAACAAGCCTTCCCAACAGAATAAAAGGACTGAAACTCTGCAAAAGTTTGTGAGAGATTTTCTCATCCAAATTTCAGCCAATGGATTTAACTTGCAAAGGCAATGATCTAAGCCAATAAAAAAGGTAATAAAACAACAATTTTATTGACTTTTCAGAAACATATCAATTATAAAACCTCAACCTAGATGCTCCCCAATATAAAAAAAATCCAAGTGTATCTATAATTTCTTTTACTTTTAGTCTTTTCTTACTGAGTTAAAATAATAGCTATGTTAAAGTAATTTCAAAGTAATCTTTGTGAAAAAAAAATCATCTTGATGTGTTCCCTTATTCTGCCCAGACTTACATATCATACCACCCCTGTAAAGCTTCTCTCCACTTAAGGAATTCTAGTTAATAGACTTTGAAACAGCTAAAAATAAGTTTCATAGAAAAAAAAAATCTGAAATACAAACTGGAATGAGGAAATTTGAAAAATAAGCAGAAAAGAAAAAAACAAACCAGTGTTCCCAGTTCAGTCACTCTCTCTATAGAACCATCCTCAGTTGTAGTGAGAAGTAATGTGACAATCCTTCTGGTCATTTCTGTATTTGACTTTCAGCCTTCATTGAAAATTTCTGTTCTGGCTGTATTTGAAGGATCAGACACATTTATTAACATTTCAAGTGAAAACAAGACAGAAGTGTGTGTGCTGTGCATGACCATCTCTACAGAGAAACCTGTTCCTTGACTCCAAAGTGATAAACTGGAGGTTTCTCATCAAGAAACTAGGAAATATTGTTGTTTACAAACAAATTGGGACAAAACATGTAATCACAATAAACAAAACTCCCCAATGGCAGTGAAAATGTACAGTTGAAAGTTGAAATGCAAAAGTTTCAGAAAGCTTGTTAGTATTAATATTCAAGCTAAATGGATCCAAGTCCTGCCACCTACTATGTGTTGTACGAAAGTGGGAAAGGCTGTTCCCAGTATCAATCAGAAGGACTGCTCCGAGGCAAAATCTGGCTAAATCTTGGCAAAGCTTTTCTCACAGCAGATTTCAGTACCTATATAATCTTACATGCAATAACTATTGCTTGAGGAGTAAATCACTTTCTCATTTATTATATTTTTTTTTTTCTATTATGGACATCAACACTTGCTATGTCTACGGCTATGTGGGAAATTTTAGAAGCCAAAGTGTTGAGAGAGCCTGGAAAGAAAGCAAGTGTGAAAAAAAAAAAGTAAAAGTACATTGCTTTCAGTGTTGAAATCTGAGTAAGCAGCAGATAAATGGATAATTAATTTTTATTTTTTAAACAAATAAATAATCAGGTTTCATGTTTTAATTAAACTATATCCTTTTTTCATCATACAAATTATAATCCAGTGAAAATTATTCTTTACCTCTGAATTTGCAAACATTAAATATTTTCATTTCATTACAAATGCTTTAATTAGCTTCTTTAATCATAATTTAACCTTATAACTCTAGAAAATTTAGACATGTTTTGTTTTTGAGTTGTTCTGTTCAATTTTTCATTTGTTTGTTTTTCTAAACAATGCAGCTTTTCTTCTCTTAGGCTAATGTCAAAATAAATTTGTATCACTGGTAAGGTTGAAAGCCTATAAGGCATAGCATCATAATACCAAACTTCAACATTTCTGAGAAATAACAGCTCAAAAAGACAGAAGAGTGGAAGTAAAATCTGTTTAATCCCATGTTTTGCTTTGCCTTCCTTGATTCTCACTAGTTTGCAAAACAAAGTTGAAATTTCTTGTATATTGGCATTGTATATTTGGCATTAAATAGAGTGTTTGACATACAATAGCTTTTTTTTGACACAACTCATACAGATACCTAAATATTTTAGTCACAGCAGTTCATTTAAAGCACAGTTTGCAACAGACTCCTGGCCAAGAGTGAACAGATTTGGTAGCTGACTATTTTGGTCAGAACAGAGAGTAACATCTTTTTAACTTAGTGAAGATGTTAACCCACAATAAGGACCAAATGTTCTTGACTCTTAACATATTTGGAGAAAAATCTCAGCCTCAGCTTCTACCTCCTGCACTTTCAATGGCAGCTTCAGCTAGTTTAAAATCAAAGATCAAATTCCCTTGGACTTAATTATTTTTTTGCAAAACTGTGATACTGGAAAAATACAGAGAATATGAATAAGAACCTACATTTTAGCAACCACATAGTGTCACAGATTGTACACAATACTGTACTGTCACTAATGGAAACTAATAGACTTAGTGAGAAAAACAGAAACCTCACAAATTGCTACCAATTGAAAAACAACAAAGGTTGGAATGACATTTTATCAACTCCATGAATCAACACTACTGAGTGAGAACTGTGTCCTTAGCTCCAATCCACCCATCACTGTCTTTGTGCCACCTCCTTCTTCCAAACTGTAAAGCACAAATTAGCCATCTCCCACGGCAGTGAGTCCCCTTCCTGTTTTCAAAAGACTTTTCTTCTAAGCACCATTATACAAGGTGCTAATCAAGGGGAAAAAACCCAAAATGGAAAATAGGTCATGCAAAGGGATACAGTCACACATCTGATGCCTTTTATTGCTATGAGAAATCCCGGGGAAAGGAATCCTAGGGGCAGTGATAGTCACGAGAGTTTTGGGCAACAGCAGTGCTCAGCCTAAAAGCCTGATATGACTGAAGGCCTCACCATTCAGACTGTGACAGCAGAGGACCTCAGGGGCTGTGATCCAACCTTCCTGAAAAGATCTGAGGTTAATTTTGGGATACTCTGAAAATTCAGGACACAGGCAAGAGTCAAACCTATTTTTTAAATGAAGGTTTTAAAGAGGAAATTTAAAAAATTACTTTCCCACATTTATAGAAGAAAATATCAATGAATACTCTGCATAACAGTTTACATTATCAATTCTGTCATACAGTTCCTAAATGAAAGAGTGTTCATGGTTAAAACTCTAATGTCACCTTCATGTTCGACAAAATATGTGACAGTTTGGAAGCTATTATTTTAAAGCTCACATGTTGAAATTTTCTGATTGACTGCTCACATGTTTCAAAATGATTTTATAATTATCAACAGAACAAGTTAAATTAACCCTGAAGCTTGTAGTAATAAGAATTAAACTGCTCTTACTTATCTACTTATCTGCAAATAAACCTACCCATTACAGCAACAGCTGCCGTTCTGATGCACTGCGCTCTGCTTTGATTAACACCTCTGCATAGATCTGTAGCATTAGACAACAGGATCCCTTACTGCACTGCTATATATGTCTATGAAAATTGGCACCCAGAGTTCTCCACACATTTACCCACTGATGTTGAAAATGTTTGGAGAGTTAAGGAATAGGCTCAGGAAGGTTTTCATTAAATTTCCATTTGAGCACAGATGACTTGCCCAGCCTTGCATAAGTCTCCTTGTGCCTCAGTACCAAATCTTTAAAAGCGGGTTAGTATCATCTCCACGTTACACAGGACTACCATAAGTGTAAACACTGTGAAGTCATGAGATAGTAGACCAATGAGGTCAAGTTGTTCATATCATCCTTGTATCTAGCCGTGGATACCTGGTTTGTTTTTTGCTGGTTTGTTTGTTTGTTTGTTTTTTAATTAGCAATAAAATAAGAACCATTTTAGAAACTTAAAATCATTAGGAAAAAAACACCTCAAGAGAATCAGCAACTTATACGGTAACAAAAAAAAAATAAATGTCTATTTCTCCTATGAAATGGTCTTTATTGTGAAGCTTCAGTAACATATTCATTACTGTCAAAACAGAGATTGAACACTGAAATTATCACACAAAAAACAAACACAAAACCCCACATAGTATATAATCCAGAGCTACGATTATCTGTTAGTAAGTGAGCAAATAACTTTTAAAATGTACAGTGTACTGTAAATAATTTAGTTGCACAGCAAAGTAGTTCATAACATCAAGATGTTCCCTATTTTGTATGATGCTTAACCTGAAAGTTTCCCATAGAAAAAGAAATGTTTGATTTTAAAAAAAATATTAATTTTTAATTCCTACAGATATACCTAGGTAGTATTTTACATGTCATATAATAATGAATGTTCAAAACACTTCAAAAATAATTTCTTGGGAAGGATAGTGTGGGAGACTGAAATGTTAATAGTAAAGGCTCAGTCAGCCACTTGCAAAAGCAATGGGTGCTTGCTGATGATCAGTAAAGTAACAGCCCAAGTGGGACAGCTTTTTATCATGCCAGTGTCCTCCCTTACACAGCTGGTTCAGTTGTAGAACTGCCCATCCCCTGGGAAGGTATCTGGATGTTGACATTATTCATCCCTTCTGATGGGGCATAATTGGTTCAACTGTGATGTCTTAGAAGGTGTCATAAATCACCAAAGACCCTCTAAGTGCCCCCAGACTCATTTCTGTGGCCTTCCACCAGAGAGCTGTGCATGATCCACAGCGTTGCAACGGATCCACATTGTTGCAAAAGATCCACAGTGTTGCAACAGACAGTGAAAAACTCCCCGCCCCAGGGGAGGTACCTGAGCATTCCACCCAAACCCAAGCATATATTTACCCATTGGACTTTGTGTTTCCTGGGCTTCCTCCACCCCTGATGGATCAAGACTGCGACCATCACTTCAACCAACAGACATCGAAATTGCAACTATGAAGTCTCGTCGCTGGATCCAAGGGTGGTAATATCTTTCTACCCTTATCCTTTATTTCTCTTTCTCTTTTTCTTCTCCTATCTTTCTCTCTTTCTTCTCCTAATTTCTTCTTCTCAAAATATATCCTGAGTCAGACTAAAACATTCTCGTCAATGCCTTAGTAAGTGCCTTGTTGAATCTGGATAAGTTAAAGTTGACTAAGTTTAAGTTTGCTAAGCTAAAGTTTGTGAAGTGCCTTGCTTTGTCTGGATGTTGTTTTAGAATTTGCCAAGTATCCAAGAATTTGGTTTATTCATCTTAATGTTCTAAAGTTTACAAGTAAAAGTTTGTTACTGAATCTCCCGAGATTTTGTTATTTCTCCCCACATTGCCCAGAGTGAATCAAACAATCTTCTCCTAAACCTGCTGAGCAGATTGGAGCATAAAAGTTAGTTAAAGTAAGTTTCAATTTGTCCTTCCCTTCCCTTTTAAAGAAAACAGATCTTTCTTCTCAGTGTGAAACATTCTCCCTAATCTCTGTATGATTTGCCATAAATCTACAAAGAATTCTTTGCCTCAGAGGTTTTTTCCATTAATGTTTTCATGAAAAACTGTAATCCAGAGCAATATTCTGACAGTTTCTCTTTTTTTTCTTTTTTTTTTTTTTTTAATGTTACTGACAGTGGTTACTAAACAGTGCAAACTATGGATAGATCTGTAGAACACCACAATCATGTTGATAACCCAACTTCCAAGCTATGTCTTTCAAGAAGTTTAGTTTAGACTTCCATCAGGTCCCTCAGTCTGTTGCCAACATTGGGGGTGCTCCTACAGTGCACCTTTCACTCCAGTTTTTTATCCAAGAGTAATTCAGTTCACTCATCTCAAGACTGTTTCAGAACCGAAAACAAGGTACAGTCAGTGGGGACAATCAGAAGACTCACTGGTTCAAACTAAACTGCTAATACAAGCATACTTATCATGTAACATCTATAAACCAATTGCCAGCTTCAAAACTAAATGGGATTTGGCACTTTCTGATTTCAATTAAATAGTTTCAAATTTTTTCACAGTAAGTAAAAGCAGAATACAAGCGTAAAAGCAGAATACAAGCGTAAAAGCACTTAATAGTATATATCTTACACCATTTACCCATATATGCAAAAGATTCAAGAACTCACCATATCAGTATCTGAAACAGGTCCAAAACTGGTCACATAGATGTTAGTGAAGACTTCAGTAATACTATCTGATATAAAAAGAAAAAAACACAAGCAAACATTTTAAATTGATCGTATTTCTTCTAACTTTCTATGCAAGATTATAAGACATTTTGAAGAGGTTTCTGTTCTTGTTTACTACCTCTAATCAATATTCTGGTGTAAATACTGGGGATCTCTGCCCCACTTAACACAGAGGTTATCAGACAAGAATTTGTCCCATGGTAGTTTGTTGCAGTTAAAGAATTATACAATCATCAGCAACTACACACATATTTCCCGTTTCTCTACCAGCAAAAATAACCACACCATCTTGGACTTAACATGGAAGTACAGTTCTAAACACAAAATGTCTTTGTTGCAGAGGTGTTATCTCTGTTGTTGCAGATCACTCCTATTAAAGCTTTTCCAGCTGAAGGCTGCTTTCTTCATCCTTAATAGCTTTTTCAAAGCCAAAGACAAGAAAAACCTTACAAAGCAATTATTGACAACACCAAGTATAGCACACAGCAGCATCCTACTTTTTCATTGGACGTGTTTTTAAGCGGCACATATTCTAACATAATAGTTCCTTGCCTTGATACATGATGTTCCTGAAACATTGCTGTGGTACTTGTAAATACTATAAGAAAATGTTCTTCCTAATCATTATAGTCAGACAGCCATGAAATCAGAATATTAGATATTGTACTGCAGGGAAAAATAATTGCTGAGTTTTCTATCTTAAGTCTTCAATTAGGCTCCAAATAGAATGATAGTCACTAAGAGGGTTAGCACACACTTGCAGAAAATTTCTTACAGCAGATGCCAACTACTGTCTGCATTCAAGACAGTCAACACAAGGAATTCTCTGCCTTAAAGCCAGCTGCTGACTGGAAAAGAAAAATTTAAATACAACAAAGTGCAATTTGACTCATCACAGAATTTCCTGTTCCTAAAAATAATACAACTGCCTGTTATCCAAGTGATCCTGCTGTTAGATTATAATTTCCCCACTTAATCATCATTTAATATGAACATTTAATAGTTTCTGTTTTCCTAAAAGCTACCTTTAGACAAATATGTGGTATAGACAAATTTTACTTTTAATTATATTGAGACCAACAGTATAATCCCTGCCTTTTATTGGGAGAAACCAGTGGTGCTCACCCAGACAGTAGATGCTCTACCAGCCACCAGGGCCAAGACTGTTCCATGAGCAGTTGCATGGGGAACAGTGAATTCTCAAAGGGAGAATCAAAGACACAGTGCTTTCAGAAAACTTCTGGAGCATGAGCAAGAAACATTCCTGCATTCTCATCCATAAGGAAACTTCCTTCTTCAACCAAACACTAGAATACAGAACTTTGGAAAGACATTCCTACAAAAAAGAATCTTTTTTCCAGTATCATCTCCCCTGTTTAAGCAAATAAATAAAGGCTGACTCTTACTATGTGTCACTCTGAAAGTTCAAAAGCACAATTCTCCTCATGTCCTGAGATAGGTTTATTTGTGTGATAGAGACTTCAGTAATACCTTATGAAGCATCCTTACAGTGACTTCATGTTGCCAGTGGGAGACTCTCCAGAAAAAAATGTTATTATCTCCAAATGGTTACCTGGCACGGGCAGGAATTAAATGGAAGAGTGACAAGAGAGCTACTCATCAGGAGGTAAAATGGTGCTGCAGGGACTAACTGTGAAATTTGGCCTGTACAGCGATGACAATACAAAATTGTAATTACAATTCCATGAAAAAAACTGATGTTAGAAAAATACAGCTGGCAATCAAGTATCCCAAGAGCAGAGCACCAAGGCTAATTTGAATTATACTGGTATAATTTGAAGGAACACTACTATAGGCAACAAAGTTACTGCATGCCTCCCACCCCCCAAATGATTTGAAGCATGGTCCTCTTGTAACCTTATTCTACTGCTATCCATTGTTTGCATCTGATTTATTACTTGACATATGGGAATGATTTTACAATTTCTGTAAAATAAACTACAGGACATGGAATCTTCAAGCTTGCCTTGCGTTCCAAGTTTTAATTTAAAAAAGAAAAAGGTCCCATATTCTATAATATTATTTCTACACTTCTGGATCTATCCTTCCACCAGAAATGAGAAGAGAAGACAGAGAGGAGAACAAACATACTGACTACAACTTCTCATTTAATGCTATTGCAACAGTCTGTAGATTCCCCTTGTTGGAGTGTGTTACTCACTTCAAATCACTTCAGATCCTTGAAATGAACAATCAAGGCTTGAGCAGTGAAGAGAAGATGGACAGGAGAAGCAGTAGCTTGCTATCTATAAACCCTCAGTTGCAAGATCTTAATTTCAGGTTATCATAATTAAGATAAGCATTTCAATGTATGTAAAAATCCTGGTGCAAATTCATCCCTGATAGCCTCAAGAATGGGAATGGATGAATATGAATTGTGTAGCTCTATTTTTCTTTTTTGCCAAAATTGTCTTAATCAGCATAAATGCAGGCAATGGTGACAGCAGTGAGTTTCAATACAACCAGTTTCTCTCTCCTGAGGTGACAGCTAACCCTGACAGCAGGCACCCCACCAGGCCACTTCTCCTGATGCCATGGAAGAAAATGAAGGCAGTAGGTAGAGGGTCCTGAAACAGAGCAAGAAAGGGACAAGGGAAGCTGAAAAGTTACTAGGTATGAGAAGACTGAGGGAAAAGGAGAAATAAGAAAACATAACAACAGAAGTCAGGGAAAAAAAAAAAGAAAGAAGTGCACAAAAGAAGAAAATGTTAAAAGAGAAGCCTTAGTTGACTTAGATCAGGTCAATCTCTCAGATTACAGAAGCCAAAGATAAACTGAAAAAAAATAGTCAATAAAGTTAATAATAAAGAGGAAGAAAAGCATGTCCTTTCAAAGTAATAAAAAGAGTAACTATTAAAATCATATTTTATATGCTTCTCAAGCACTGGTTTCTTCTGATTCCCTTTCCTTACTTGAACTGACATGATATCATTACTGAAAAAAATAAATCAGAAAGTAAGGAAAAGCAAAAAATATACCAAATTGCAAAAGATTTATACATCCTTACCTATCCTTAGTTGGAAGGTTTACTGAGTACTTTAATTACATTTAGGATTTTAAAAACATTAATTATAATAACTCCTCTCTGAAGATAATAATTTTATTATCTTTAATTTTCCATACTTGGAAAGCTGAGGTAGAAGGATTAAATTAAGTATAAGTAATGTGAAGTACAGGTGTTTATCAAATCTAGCTACAGCTGTCCAACACTAAGTATCCACACTGGAAAATGTCAACATCATTTACTTGTCAAAAATTAGAAAAGTGGTTCAGAGCTCAGCTAGAGTCTGAAATCAGTGCCACTGTCTACTCCTTTATGCCAGCTCTCCTGCTGTTGGGATACTCTTTATGATGGTCTGAAGTCACGCTGACTTGTTCCTCAGTAGAAGAGCTGGCTCAGCTGAAATAGGCTGTTTGGCAGAGAACTTGCAGTGGCTGAAGTCTAGATCAACACAGGTTGAGTAATGGAGATGATCAGAAAAATCGGATGAAAAGGTCCCTTATCAGCATGTACCAATATGTCAAAACTGGAAAATTCCACAGCAGCATTTAAATATTGAATTAGTTCCTTTGGCCTGCTGCCTGTCAGGCAGTTTTCAAAACTTATCCACTTTCATTCAAATGTCCCTTCTCAGCTGGCTGAATCTCTGACATCGCGCACAGAGGTCCAGGGTCTGTTACATGAGATAGCTAGACATGCAGGATTGGGCATACCTGAGAGCTCTCCCTTTCCTGGAGAACTCTGAGGCAGGATCATTTTTGTGAAATAAATTTTCTGACTATTTTCATATTTGAGAATGATCTGTGTATTGTTCATTCCTCCTCTCACCAAAATAATCTACAGTCCTTTCTTCACAGAGAGTAGTGATAAAACAGGTTCATTCTTTGTGTTTAAAAGAAGGAAAGAAAGGAGTGTGATCATTACAAAGTCTTCAGAATGAACCATCAGCAAGGTTCCAGATGTTTGTTTGCATGAAGCTGGCTATATTATTGATTAATGTATCAAGGCTCTTTTCACAAGAAAACAGGGTAGTAGATTGGGTTGGATTTTTTTTTTTTTATCTGAATTTTCAGTCAATAAAACTGTAAATACATTGTTGGGGCAGCTAAAAAAGAAGGCAATATTTTTGATGTAATCCAAAGCCATCAGAAGTATTCTTGGGGGACAGAGCTTTTAAAACATACATATGCAGTTCTAATGCATAGTATGAAAAAATTTCTAACAAACGCTATTTTAAATGTACAATTAATAGTGCCCAAAAAAAAAAAAAAAAAAAAAGAAAGAAAAAGAGAAGTGAAAATAAAATACTGTTCTTTAATTAAGTCAAAAAAAAAAAAGGAGGTCAAGTTGCAGTGCTATGGGAGCCTTTTCTGAGGATTTCTGAGTTTTTATGGAAATGCTGTCAAAAGCTTGATGTTACTTTAATTATTTTTCTATAAAAATTATTTAACTAGAATTGACATTATTCTGACATTGTAATATGGTCTCCAGGGCCACGCTTGGCAATGTTGCCCAAAGGCTTTGAAAATGTCATTCGTAATACAAGTCAGAAATGGCACAGGTGAAACAGCCAGGGTCTTAATCCATCAAACACTGTTCCAATTCAACATGCTGCCCTTATCTGACAAGCTCCTTAGTGTGTCTGTTGACAGCTGAAGACGCTGGCTGGCTGGCAGGGAATGAGAGTCAGAGGAGGTCATGCAACCTGGAGCCGTAAGAGAAGCAAAATCCACAGGAACATAGATATTTCAAAATAGTGTTCTGACATTTCTTTATGCTTGGTTTTGGTGGTTTATGTGACAGTTTTATTTATCCAACTACTCAGCATCTTCATTCATTATCCACCGTTAAATTACAAGTTTCCCCACATATGCCTTACATAAATACATTTTCAATTTGTAAATTGAAGCCAGCTGTGAGAAGAAACAAATTCACTTCCCTCCTTGACATCAGCACTTCACTTCCAATGGTCTCACTCTATTGGCAGGACAATTTCATAATATGAGCCATAATTCTCTTTCAAAACTCCATCTTTAACCAACCATGTGTAGAGTAAGCTTATCAGTAAGATCTAGTATTTCCTGTAAGTGTTACTATTAACAGTTGCTCTCTTGATTCACTTTAGTGTAAATAAAACCAGCATCATGCACTGTACTCAGTTTATAATGGTGTTGATTAGAACAGGAATATATTCTGGAGAAAATATCTGGAGAAAGATACCAGAACTGAAAGCCAGTAGGCTAACAGACCCCAACTGATTTCCCTCTGAAGAGCTTATATCTGTTAACAGACATTAATATCATTTACTAAATAGCCTCATATAAAGTCTATCAGAGGCCCTCCAAAGGCCTACACAAAACTCATGAAGTTGGGTAGTCCTGTAAAGCAATACCATAAATACCATGATGTCATTTAAACTGACAGAATACTTGGCTTGTATATAAACCCTCTCTTTTATTTCAGCGAAGTAGTATTCATTATTCTGAAATGGATAAAACTGATCCAAAATAGCAGGAATTTACTGTAATACAAAACTTCAGTTAAACGTGGGTGTGTCTTTAGAGATAAATAAGACTTTTTGACCATTAAAAATCACACATTGACCTGGAAAAAAAAAAAAAAAAGAGCTAAACTGTCAACACCCTTTTCTTCTGTAGCAGAAAATATTACTTGGTAAAACATTTTTAGATATGTTTTTAGCTGAGGTAACAGGGTTTTTTTAGGTGTAGATTACCCACAAAATGAGCACAGAATGATATGTAGGTACATCTGCCACTTAAATATTGTGGTATATTGCCACAGTCAGTATTTACTCTTATTTGTCCTATATGAAAAAGACACTGGTGCAAACTCTAAAAGTACTGTTTCTAGAGAGCAAATGAAAAAATACAACATTCTCTCTGTGCTGAGAGAACATTTACACATTACTAAGACAATTTTCACATTCACATGAGAGACTTGGGGGTTAACTCTCACTCAAAAAGAAGAGTGCAGATCACACACAAACATTATCTTTACTACTTTTTCTTTTCTCTCTCCCTAGGGACCTTTAATTTCCAAACCTTACTACTTCAGGTGACAAAACTAAGCACATTTCCAAAGAGTCCTTTGAATGAAGAGTTTTGGATACAAGTGACATTTGAGATTCAGTTTTAACTTTATTACAGGTGTACTCCACAAATTTGAGAAAGTCACTCAAGGTTAGGGCTAAAGACTGATTTTGGTGCCCAATTATCTCTGTAAGTATATTGGACAAACTCCACAAAGTTATTTAAGCTCCAAGTTTCCATTTAAATCAATAAAATTAATCTGAATGTCTCTGTGGTCCAGATCATAATGACTAAATTTTGCACTTATATTTGTCTGAATTCCCTTTAGTCCTAAATTGCTGTTTAACATTGTCAGTACCTAAAATTCCCTGGCTGCTTATATTTTCACCTTAAAGCAAAAATATCCTGATGCTGCCAAGCAGCTTAAATAACTGGCTCTCAACCAAGTCCCAACAAGTTCCTCAAACTATAAATAATCACAAATTTACTGGGCCAGAAAGGCTTTGAGAGAGAAAGCAAGAAAACAAGCAAAAGACTGATTCCACAGCTTAGCAGTTCTCATGGGATATAGCAGACATAAATTGAAGCCTCTGCTCAATATCTAATTATTTACACAAAGCAAAACAATTCCTTCCAAAGACTGAGGAAGCATGCTCTCTTAGAAAATTCACCTTTGTGGTCAAGACAGAACCCAACACACAGTAACTGAGTTCATGTCTCTGCTTTAAATTAGAGCATGCAGTTGACTAGAGCTGTTCTCTCTCTAAGAGGTTTCCATTACACCTGACTATCAGCTGCTCCCATGGCTTTTTTCAGGAAAGGAAGAATGGTATGAGCTCTAGAGGAGGAACACCCCTATGAACAGCTGAAGAGGAGAGTGGCAATGTTTTAACCCCCAAACTTGAATGCTTCACATGTGTCGGTAAGAAAAGCTTCCACTGCATGCCCTTCTTCAGCATTTTTAATTACTCAGGTTGACAGATCCCTACTCAGTTTATTGACTTTATGTACCACCTTTGTGGACAGTTGAGGCTATGCCCACACCATTTCTGAGGTGTGCCAATATGCCCAGCTTTACGCATGTTCCACACATAGGATGCTTGGCTGTCTAAAGCAAGGAATTCCACTATACATGGGATCCAGGAGATGTGGGCATTGACAAACCTAAGCCTTCAGTCTGTATGGGGTTGAATGGCTCTAGAGTCCAGCAGTAAAAAACAGAGATCGCAGTCCATGTTCTGACACATGGATATCTATAAAAATAGACATTTTATAGAAAGGAAAGCAACTCCAGTGGAAGAAGCCACTTTTGCAGAACGATCAAAAGTCCCATGTCTCCACAACAGGGTTGGAAAGTGGGAGATATTGATTCCTTTTCCAAATCAGGTAGGGAACAAGTATGAAGTTTAAGCTAGAATGTAATTCAGCCCTGATGAGAAGGCTACTGTACTGACTGGTGCAGCCCATATCACATTGGGCCAATCAATCAAACAGTGTCTAGCTTGAATCCTGCCAGTACTTCAACATGAGAGCGATTTCAAAGCAACCCAGAAGTGCATAATTTAATTGGTTCCTTGCAGGGGGAAAAGAAGATATTTAGATACTCTCACTTGTTATTACTGTTGGACTTCATACGCTTTTGACACCTCCAGCAACATGTTGACAATCTCAGAGGTATCCACTGCCAAGTGATTAAGGAAGTAATTAACTATCTAGACAGCTTTCTGGATTTTTTCCCTATCTTTTAAACAGAGAATTCCTCCAATTTACAGGTTCATAGTAAAGATATTAATAGAACATGGACGCTTTGGTTTTATAAATGCTTGCAACAACTGGGTAATTATAAACAGTAGTCTTGACTACGGTACAATTAACAAAGGGAAAAACAAAAAGTTGAAAATTAGTGAACTAAATCATTGGGAAGGGTAATCTAAACACATAGACAATGTGAAATTTGTTCCCATAAGGCCAGACTACCATGAAATCCACCAAATCTCACTTTGTTACCTTTTCCTCTCACACCATGGGAAGAAAAAAATTTAAAAGCAGTCAGCTCTAAAATAAACTACCAGTGTGAGTCAGTTTTACTTAGAGTTGCACAAAACATTCAATAGGAACATGAAATTGAAAATATAGTTGAGTTTCACTGAAAGAAATGTGATCTTACTGAAATGGGTTACTTAAAAAGTCGAATTAAAAGGAACTTAGCTAACACAGGACACATTTGTCAGCAAACCAAAACTAAACATCATTCAAATGAAAAATAAAATATCAGCACTAAACCTTGCCCCTTTAAACACTACAGCTTCCAGCAAGATGGAAAGTGACTGTTTATAACAACCAGGCTGAGTAACAAATAGGTCTACTCCATTGTTTAGATCAACTGGATGAGCACGATAAGGCTAAAATGAACCAGACTGCCCCAACACTCTCTAAATAATGAGACAGAGGAAGACAAAGAGAACAAGAGCACTTAAACGAATCTGAAAATGGAAGGGAGCAGACTTTGATAAAGTAGAGCAGTAATTATTTAAGCTGACCTGAATCGGTGTCATCACACAAGTAGGGAGGGCAAAGTTATTGTTCTCATGCAACCATATTTCTGTCTACTCTGCTTAGAGGCTTGTGCTATTAGGAAGGAAACCATAACATGAAGGTAAGGCAGAAAATTGTCCAAATTTACTTCAGATTGTCGGAACTTATACTCAGAAGTCTTCCTCTCTTTTATTTTTTTTTTTCAAATGTTTGAATTTTATTACCTCAGTACTCAGAGTCACGGAACATCTTGGAAAATTCTGCTACATTACCTTTCTAGGCTACTTTCAGGTTTAATCTATGTGCTTTATTCCAAGCCACAGCATTTATAAACCATCTTATTTGACATACTCACTCTGACAACCCCTCCTGTATACCAGACCACATCTACCACTAACAGCAGTAACATTTTTAAAAAGCAACAGCTTCTAGTTTCTCTTCACAGTCATAAAGCAGCCAAGTCTGGGCTTCTTAAGATATGCTTTTATTGCATAGTGGTTCCAGACTCACTTGATTTTAATTGCTAGTTTATTTGATGATCATCTCCTCTTACACAGGCCCAGCTGCTTTTCTAACCAAGACCTCTCATCCTAGATGTTATTCAAGCTGGATTTTAGGAGCCACTTTGGCTTATGCTGGCAACATGTCAACTTACTAGTAAAAGTACAAGTTATGAAAGGAGGCCTTCCTTCAGGACCTTCCCACATTCTAAACACTAAAAAGAAAAACAAAAACAAAACAAAAACACAAACAAACAAAAACTAAACAAATGAACAAAAAAACAACTTGTCATTCCCTGGAAGAACATCAGAAGTCAAAGTCCTTCTGCATCAAGGACCTGTGAAATGGTCACAGAACTCACACTGGGATGAACAAGAAACTGCGATATTAAACAGATAATACATAGAGGATTTCACTGTTTGGCTACACGCTACTTGGTTGTAAATGAACACTGTCACAGTGCTTATTAGCTTGCTAACTATTTAATGAAGATTTGTGTAGCATGCCAGAGCCCACTGAAGTCAGTGAAACAGTCTTTCCCTGGTGATGCCCAGCTTCAGCAGAAGCCTTTGGAGAACGCCTCTGTGGTTAGCCACGGCAAAAAAAGTTGTCACCCTGGAGCTGACAGAAACTGTGACGTAGCTCTGGGAAGGACAGTCCTGCTTGTTCTGTGGCAAACACTCCTTCTGTCACCAGAAGCTGGCATCTTCCCAAGGTTTGCTGCTATTACAGCAAAGCATGAAATGCTCATGTTCCAAAGTCCAAAAGGCTGATGGAGCTTCTCTAGAGATCAACAGACATAAGAAAGCTTTGAAAATAGTGATCCTTTCAGACAGATTAATTTTACTGTCTTGTGCTTAGTGTCTGGATACTATAGTCCTGGATCATACAGTCATTAAAAATGGAGCTACAGTTCTTTTATCTTTTGCTAGCCTTGTCATTTGCATTCAAGCATGACAGGAACCAATGGTAGAAAGAGGTAGTACCTTTATTTAATAGAGCTGTGTATTAGTGGGCACTTTTAATGCATTTTTTTGCATCCGGATCCTCAAATATATTTTTTATAGGTAATGCTGTATAAAATACTATAGTAGTATTTCAGAAGATTGTGACACATTGTCAAAAACAAACAAACCAAACAAACCTAGGTAGCATTATAATCTTCTACCAACCAGTCAGCAGTTCTTATTTTACGCCAGGTGAAATAACTATGAAGTACAGGAAATTAATGTTTATCCAGACTACTCTAATATTCTCAAAAAAACTACAAAAATCAGCTGGAGGTTGCATGTATGTTAACACCCTTAATACCCAGTGTGCATAAGAACATGTAGATAACATTTTCTTTCCATGACCCTGTTCCTCACGGTTGCTAAAATGCAGCAAAAGGAGGAATAGAGGTATGGGTTAAAAGACATAGCACAAATCAGACTGGCTGCCAAGTTGTCTTTCTTTTTATTCTTAAAAATTTTTTGCTTAGCAGGACAACCCCGGGGATGGTCATGGATAATAAGCTTCTTGCTAAACAGGAGTCCTGACAAACAATGAGTTCATGGCTTGATCAAACAGAGAATCACTTTAACACTTAAATCGAATAAGTGCCCCCCCAAATAAGCAAAAAATACCAACACAGTCAGCAATGGAGCAAATTTTTTTAAATCCCATTTTAACATGTTACAGAGTTGTCAGTTACTCTTCTGTTATCTAGTTAATAATAAAAAAGGTCTAGACTAAGGCTATGCAATGTGTCTACAAGAAGTGTACTGCAGCGCTCAAAAGTCCCACGGCTGAGTCACTTGAATGTCTCCAAGCTACTTTACAGATAACAGTGTTTCCCAGAATCTCCTCTAAAACATACTCCCAGGATACTCCCAGAGCTTGGATTAAGCAGCCTCAAATTTGTCTTTTATTTTTGCCTGTGACAAGAGAATTCACCTCTGGCTGGCCATGGGATTTTCAGAATCCATCAGGCTTCTATGTGTGCAAAGACTATATATTTGGGACAAGAATCTGATTTTAATTAACAAGTTGGAGTTTTTGCAGACATAAATTAAAAAGCAGTATTTTTTTTTCCAAACAATGCCTAATATTTAGTTCATTTAGAATTCAGTTTTTTAAAGTGCATATTCTTCTGAGCAGATACTATGACTTCGTGAAAATGCAGATAGCATCTATCACACAATATCATTTTAAAATAATTGTGGTGGCAAACAAAATTATCTGTTCCCGGTTTTTTATGGTCACTAAAGAAAAAATGTCTAGCAAACATAAACATAAAGACCTCCTGACAGCTTTTAGCACCCAGCAGATGGAAAGAGATTATTAAAGATGTGACCATTTCCTTATCTCAAAAAACAGGTATTTATATTTCTCCCTTATCATTTTTACTTACTTATTTATTTTTCCAGGTGAAAGTCTCTTCCCTTTTGTTCAGAAATTGTATGAAGCAAGGCAATAAAAAGTTCACATTTAAAGATCTAGTAAAAAGAAGTTCACTGTTTGGTGCTCAATTAATGCTATAACACAGACAAGTACTGCCCATGAAACACTATGGAATGCCCTCAGGATGGTAGGGTGATTTTATAAACCCAGCACTGAATTTAAGGCTAAAACTTTTGGTTTTCCTCATTTATATACACCACACTGCAATTGCTCCTCAGCTTCTTCTCATTCAGTGAACCTTTAAATTGTGAAAAACATAATTGTTTCAAAAAATGAGCATAAGAAGGCTTCTCCAGTAGCCTTTAGATTGTCACTCAGAATGAATATCTAGAATATTATGCTGGTGTACTAAGGGCAGGAATTGTCCCTTCAACTCACTTCTAAATTCTTAAAGCTAAACACAGACTCTCTTCCCTGCTCCCTTCCATTTCTGCTCTCTAGTGT